GTCTCTAGAGCTTCCTACTTCCAGAAAGCTAAGTTATCTTGTACCTACGTTTTGTCTTTCACAGGAAAAAAAAACTAAAAAAAAAAGTTCCTTGCACCAGAAGCATAAAAAGAAAACTAAACAATTTCATCTGGCTTTTAATCCTGGAGTGTTTCGTACTCCACAAGGTCAGACATGAAATTATCATAACAAATTCTGGCTATTTCACTATTATTCTAGCATCAAAAAACCTTGCAGATTTTGCTAAAAAAACAGAGCCAGAAAACAGAAGTGGATGTAAATGTTAATGACCAGCATGATGTGAATGCACTCAAGCTAACTTGTAGAAAGTAGATTTATGAACCTCATCACTGCGAATATCCCGATTAAGGAAGTACCGGCTAACATGAACTGGTCTTTGCTTTGATGCATGCACATAAACAGAGAATTTGCCTTCATGGCCCTGACGAAAAGGAGAAGATGAAGCAAACATAAAGTTATATAACTTCTACCAATGCCAAAAGTGCTCAGTTTATATACTTGTAAGTCTACTTCCTAAATGCATTAAGTTTAACAAGACTAATATATAACATACTTGGATCCTTCATTGATTTTGAAATAATTTTCTATTTATTTCCTAATTGCCAGATGCTTTGATACTTCTGTATGACAATACGCTACTCATATTTCTAATGTGATATGTGCGTGAAAGGAAAGTAAAATTTGGTCACCAATGTTACTTTCCCTAGCCGAAGCTCATGGGTCATAGCCTAAGCTTAGATGTAACAGGAACAAAGCAGACGTGCAACTTTAAGTCTCAGTAAGTTCTTAAGTAATTTTCTGTCCAGCATACACAACATTTAATAGTGCCAAACAGTAAGGTCAAATTCTTCCAGCAAATTTTGGTTCATGAAAATTGAATGCTTACTGAAAAAATACATGGAATGGTTTTTTTAATTTTACGTAATGCCAAAAAGCAAGACTAAAGCATCAATTAACATGCTTATTGAAATTAAAGCAAAAGAAAAGAAAATAATACATATAGGAAAAACAGAACCATACCTGGAAAAATTTATCCCACAACTTCTCAAAAGGCAGTGAACCAGGACTCAAGAACATGAATGCGATTTTAGAATTTTTAGTTAAAACAAGAGGTGAGCTCAAAATATCCCTAATTACTACACGAGATGCTATCTCCTCATCACTATATTCCCTGACAGGAGGTGGAAGCCAATCATTAAAAGCCTTGCAACTATGGGAGAATACATAACAGGCAGCCTTGGTTTGGCGTGGATGCATATACAGAAATACTAAAAACATGCTGACCAAGGAAACCAGCAAAGCAATCCAAAGTGGCCTCTTCAAAGGAGAACGGTGGCGAGGCCCAGGCAAGATCTGCATATCACCCATGCTGCCTAGATGCCACGCCTGACCTGCCTTCATCTAATCAAATGCATCAAATTTTATGTCCATTAAATGTCCTTCTCCAAAGTCTTACCCACTCCCACGCGCCAACTGGAATTAATACTTATAGGGAACTAGATATTGTTGGACTGGTTGATATAACAATCTAAAACACAAAAGCAAAAAATTCCATTAGCAGGCTAGAAACTTGTAGCAAGAGCAGACACTTATCTTTTATTTCAGGAGTAGAAGAGAGAAACAAAGCGAAAAAATTGGGCAATAAGATCAAACAAGACACCAAAAAGAAAAGCAATGATGCTGCTAAAATATGTCTAGCAAGAACATCATAAATGAAATATATGTCATGCAACTGCAGCTGTTAAAATCTTTACCCTCAGAAACCTAAAATGTCCGAGCACCTAATCGAAGCTAAAAAGGTCAAATCAGGCACTCTCCATTAAATGAGGAAAAACAGTTTCCTCTTTTCTCAGTTTTTCCCGCACGGTTTCCAGCAAGCAAACACCAATGGCAATTCTAACTTCTCAATCGTCTCAACAGAAGAGCAAAACCAAAATCAAATTGAATTAAGAATGGCAGAGTAAAAGAAGAGTCGGCATATAATGCAGATCCTTTGAATTCAATTTTATTTCCATTTGCGCAACTACTGAAACCGAACTCGATTCCGAAGCAGTCCACATTAAAGAAAATAACGAAGCACCGACAGGGGGACAAGAGTCAAACCAATTCCCAACCCCCACCTGCAATATGCCACCAAAGAACCACTCAAAATCCAAATCCAAAATGCACACGCTCAATTGAATCTATTCTCAACTCTTTCACATTTCCTCCATCCATTTCCAAATTGTATGCAAGCTCATACGACAGGCTCACAGATATCGAACAGCAAACAAAAGCATAAAAAAGGAGTTAGGAAGAAAACATTTGCCTTCTCTATCATTAATACGTAACCCGATAAGACACGGACGTTGACTTTAAGTTAGACCAGTAATTGCAATCAGATTCATCTGTTTCAAGCATGTGCATTTCATTTCCGGAATAGAAAGCGCAGAACGTGAAGACATTATTTCTCTCTCTCTTCCCTTTCCATCCCCATCTCAGGTGCCAAAAAGTCAAGACACCAAAAAGAAAAAAGAAAAAGAAACGAAACAAAAACACATCTCCATCACGTAGCAAGCAAGCAAGCAAGAAGAACCAATACGGATAACACAAGACATCATCAGTACCTGAAAATTCAAGCTGAAGAGAGGTAAAGAAAAAGGCAGATCCCAACACGACGCAAAACTCTACAGAATCTCGGGCCTCAAAAAGGATCCAGAATATTTGCTTATGGCGTTTCAAGATCTACGACAAGACACCACTAGAAATAACGCCCTTCGAACACAAACGAAGAGAGACAAAGAAGAAGAAGGAGGAGGAGGAGGAGAAGGAAGAGAAACAGTAGGAGTTATATGCTTGCATTAATGTGTAAATATACCCGATTTAGTGATTCCTTAGAGACGATTCGTTTTTTCTCTGTGTTGTTTGTTTGGTGGATTCGTTTTCTCTCTCTTCTTCTTCCTTCTTTGTTTTCTTTTATATAAAAATTGTCGCCAAGACGAGAGAGACGACTCGACGAAGCACTGGTGTGCTTTTCGCTCCGGTCCAAACACAAACGTGGAGAACGAATTTAGCCGGCGACTTATTTTATTTATCTTTCAATTTAATTCTTTAAAAAATAATTAAGGGGGAATTATTTTTATTTATTTAAATAAATAATAATAATAATAATTTACCCT